CGAAGAGATGGATTCTGAAGAAGAGATGCTCGCGGCGCTGCAACGAGTTGAGCTCTTGGCGGATGCCGTCACCGTGCTCCTAAGGGAGTATGAAAAAGCAGTGGAGCACCTGCAGGACCTTTTAGACGACCAATTAGATGCTGCGGAGGAAATCCGAGAAGAGCTTGAAGATCAAGTCAAGGAAATTAGGGATCAGGTCAAAACCGCGCGGAAGCCAATGCAGCAGAGAGCAGCAACTGCAGCAGCAGAGGTGGCGAGGGCCTACGACGGAGCCTTAGAGGGTTTCAAGGCCTCCTTAGAGGCCCTCCTAGAGCAGCCCCAGAAAACCCAGCCCGCTTCGCCAACAATGCAAGGGGACTTCGCAACTTTGGCTGCCAGAATTCAAGCTGCTGCTGACGAAAAGCTGCCGTTCCTTGCCACTGCCCACTGAGAATCTGCATGGGCGTTCCTAAGACCTAGTGGGGCAGCAGGTCTGCTAACACGGAGTTGCGTCCGTATTTCAGTTTAAAGAATCTACTGCGTGCAGCGCTGTATTCGGTGCGGGGTCCCGAAAATAATCCCGGGCACTCTTGTTGCCTTTGTAAGAAGCGGCAGTCCTTACCTGGACTGCTCAACTTTATCAGTGGTTGTTCTGTTTCTGGCCTGACTGCACTGTAGAGAGTAGGAGCAGGAAGCGGAGCAACAAGCGGCTACTTGCCTTCTTTGCCTCACTGGAGAAGGCCAGTGAGATCTTCCTTTAGTTTGTCGAGCCTTCACTAGTTGCACTACGCACAGCTGCACAGAGCAAGAAGTGCGGTAGGAAGTTCCGTCTCACCAGCCCTAATCAATATGGCCGCGCTCCGTTTGTGGCCTTGAGCATTAAGTCACTGCCCGCACCCTCTAACCAACTAAACTGCGCAGCGGCCAAAATGGCACAAGAGCGAAAATGCACAGGATCTAGCGTTGTTTACGCCTTAGGCCTTATCCAAACCTTAACTGGAGGCAAAGGCACACAAACCCCAAACGGATCCGAAGCCGCTATGCGGATCACCGCCCAAGTGGGGCCCTTAAACTGTTGATGCAGACGCCTTGCACTCCTGTTTTGTTGCTGCTGGCGAGGCTGCTGCATCTCGCCGCAACTCGGAGCTAATCCTGCACGGCGCAATGCCTCAGTGAGGCTCGTCTCCGGGTCAGGGAGCGTTTCTTGCTGATGCTCTCCAAACAACGCCACTATATGAGGCGGAAACGCTGCCTGCAATTGCTGGCGCTGCAGCTTGTCATTCTCTTCTGAAGCAGCGTAGAGGAGAGTCCCCTCGCACGTCAAAGACAAAACATGAGCCCGAGTGTGCTTCTCTATGAGCCCCACTAGCTCCGATATGGTAATTGCCTCCGCTGCTTCTGCTTCCCCTGGAACCGCTCCTTGCCCTACGCACCAATTAGAGCTCCTGCTGACACCCCTGCCGCGCAGTCTCAGGCGGAAGAAGTGCCAAGGAGAAAAAGGTAGTCCACGCCAGCGGCCTGCGTGGAAGTGATGCATTGGAGGAGGCAGCGGGGGCGCCTCCGCCAGGAATGGCACTGATAGGGAGAAGAAGCTGCTCCGCAGGAACTGTTGCTGCTGTTTCGTCGCAGCTTGCCGATATCGGCGTTCACCCCTGTCCAACCACAGCACAGGGTAATCCCTTCCCGTTTGCTGCCTGCGTTGCTCCTGCTGCTGTGGCTGTTCTCGCTGCTGCACGCGTTGGCCCGAAGGCACACCTGCGAGGCCCAAAGCTACTAATCTATACACTTCGAGGCAGACAAGCGCAGCCGCAAAAGTCGTCGCAGTTGCAGTTGCAGGAACAATACTGCCTATCAGCTGTTGAGCCTCTTCGGGACTCGGGAGAGGCGTCAGCCCAAAGGCTCGGCAGCGAAGCCGGGCGGCAGAAGTCAGGAAGCGGAGAGGCACGGCGTCATCTGCAGAGAGAGACGGAACGGCAGGGGCCCCGATAAGTCTCAAGTGTGCTCCCATCGTTGCCCCGGCGGCTCTTGCAGCCACTTCTCGAACCAGTTCCTCAGCAAGTGCAGAAAGACTGACAGCCATGGGATCTACACTGCCCTCTGCCAACCCTGCTTCCCCAGCTTCGCTGAGCGCGGCCTTCGGCAGCAAACGCTGCAGGGCTTGAGCAATTGACTGACGGCTCCAAGAGCCCGAGCCCCTTCCTTGCAACAGCAACTCTTCCGCTTGCTCCTGCTGCAAGACGGAAGCCGATGGGGGATTTGCACAGTCAAAGGTGTGCGTTTCCTTTGCAGGGGATTCCATGCGAAGGCTGGCAGCAAGTAGCTGCGCAGTAGCAGCAACAAAGTCGAGTGCGTCTGCGTCTGCAGGATCCAAAAGCAAGTGTCTTTGTTTATGTGGCCTGTTTGCGTCCTTCTCACGTGAGGCGCTGTCCTTTGCTGTTGCTGCGTCTCCTTGCATTGGCCCCTCTGTGCCTCCTTTCTGGTACAAAACACCAAACAAAAAAACTGCAAACTCCACAAGCCTCAGATGCTCTGGCGACAGAGGAGAAACTCTGTATTTGCTGCCACCATGTTTTTCGTAATGCCTTCGCCAATTCCCGCGCTGCTGCTGCTCCTGCGACGCCTGCTGACCCTGTGCTACGGAAGTCGTGCTGCGCTGCGCTCTCAGGACCTCCACTGCAAGCCGCAACAGCAGCCGCAGCCGCATAGGCCCAGAAGCGGCGGCAGCCACAGCAACAGGGGCCATGCCCAACCTGCCAAGCGCTACCTGAACATCATCGGGCGCGCCTGAAGAAGCGGCATGAGATGACGCTGCTGGTGGTAGAGCAGCCCTTCCGTGTTCACCAGACGTCCTCTGGCGCAATTGTATCTGCTGCTGAAGCAGCTGCTGCAGCAGCATATGCGCAGCGGCGATGTCAGTTTTGAAGGTGTGCTCCAGCAGAGCTGAGGCCCAATGCACTGCATGGAGAGGGGTAGTGGGAGCTCCCCGAACAGAACAAACGGGGACAGCCGTCTGGGATTGGGCAGTTGGAGAAGCATGAACAGCAGTGCCAATCAATGCAGCGGCGTAATGTTCCGTCAGATGAGGCACCAGGCTCTGAGAATGGCCTGCAGAGACAACAGACAATCAGCAACCACGAACAATGCAGCTGCCTCAAGTGCTACGTTGCCCGCTGCACGCCGTATAGGGCCAAGCAGGCAGAAAACAAAGGCATGCATCAAACGAGGCATCCAGAAAGGGAGTGAACGCATCTTTACACAATCAAGCAGGTGGAGCATCTGGCAGTGGACAGAATGAGAGGTTGATGGGCCCAGAATAACCGATACACACAGCGCGGATCATAGTGCAGCAACAACAACGGAGCAACAAATTAACAAGCCAGTCGGAAAAGAGCATGGGTCGCGCGGCAGCTACCGCAAGAAATTCCAAGATGTATCGGAGGGACAGCCCGGCAGGCGGTTGCAAACCTCGAAGACCGAGAGTGCCGGCCTCCACCCAAGGCTTGGCGTGGAGGAGGCAAAGCGTGTCGACGTAAAGACGAGCCTCTATTGAGTCCAAGGCAGCCACCACCAAGTCCTGGTCCTGTAGGTACATGGAGGGGAGGTGTCTTAGGGTATCTGAAGACAGCTGAAAAAGTCGCAGCGAACAAAAACCAAAAGGAAGCCCCAGCTCGGTGCCCTTTGCCGAGGAAAAAGCAAAATCAGCAACCACAAGCAGCAGAAGGGAAGAGCAGCCGCCTTCCCGACTACGTGAATGTTCAGGGTTGCAACAATGGACTGCTGCCGCTGGCCCCCGCCAGAGAGAGCCTGGTAAAGACGGGCCGGAAATGCTGGGATGCCACCGCAAGTCAGAATAGGCCGGCTATGTATCCAGAGACAGTCACTATGGAAACAACAAACAACGCGTTGAGGCCTGATGCACAAAGCAACCGGCACCCCCAGCGGGCGGAACCGAGTTGGGTGGTGCTGACCATATACGGGAATGGGCGCATTCGTATGCGGCTGCAGAAGCGTCGCGCTGCAGCAGCAGCAGCGGTTGCCTTGGGCTGTTGTAAAGACGAGGCAGTGAAGAGGACCTGTGGAAACAACAAACAACGCGTTGAGGTCTGATGCACAGAGCAACCGGCACCCCCAGCGGGCGGAACCGAGTTGGGTGGTGCTGACCATATACGGGAAAGGGCGCAGTCGTATGCGGCTGCAGAAGCGTAGCGCTGCAGCAGCAGCAGCGGTTGCCTTGGGCTGTTGTAAAGACGAGGCAGTAAAGAGGACCTGTCTGCTGAGGTTAGAGGTCTCCACGGTGTCCCCGTCCATCAAAGAGAGCAACCCGCGCTTGCAGGCTTCCGCACTCTCTTCCCTCGCTACTGCTCCTACTGAAGTCGCCGCTCCTGCTGCTCTAGCATCAGCTCGCCTGAACATGCTGCACTGGGCTCCGTGTAAGCACGCGAAAAGCAGTCGCAGGAGGCCGCTGCCTTGCTTTTCGCCGCTCGTGGATGGGTTGCACCTGGAGCTGCTGCTACAGCAGTACTTGGTAGTGGGACTCTCGCTGCTGCCGCTGGAGTTACGGCAGTCCGCAGAAACGCCCATAAGCGCAAAATTCTTCAGTACTTCACATCCGATAGCGCCGGCACCCACTAGCAAGACTCGCAAGTGATTAAGTCGACGCTGCAGCGCCAAGCCTAGGAGTTGCTGCTGCCCTTCCCAAGGCACCCGCCTTGCTGCTGCCTCTCTCGGAGCACCACCTACAGCAGGAGCAGCTTCCAGATTTTCCGTTTTCCCTGCTGCTGCGCCTGGTTCTGCCCCCGCTGCAGGTGATATTGGCGCATGAGCTGGTGAGCCATCAGAGGCGTGCCTGTCGCAAGTCCGCGTGTAGCTGCGGCTGCCGACCTTGTCGCCGCTGACTCGTTTCGTGTCATCTTTCCTTTGGGCCGGTACAGTAAGCCCTAGCAGCTCCAGCGCATGCAGCACGAATGGCCCATTCAGAGGCTGGTATTTTCGGGTGAGTCCCTTTAGGGTCTCTTGCGCAGCGAGAGCACCTGCGAGGGCAGCGGCACACAAGACAACTGTAGCCCCACAGTTGTTCACGAACCAATGCATCCAGAACGCAGCAGCAGCACAGGAGGCGGAAACAAAGCACTGTTGCCTACCCATTGCGGCTGCAACCGGGGCAAGGTGTCCCCGCGACCCGCGAGCCATGAGCGCCCCAACCCGCCCAGCCTCCAATTCCCCCGTCGAAACTGCAGCAGCTGCTGCTCCAGAGGCAGCAGCAGCAACTGCAGCAGCAGACTGGCGAGCAGCCGATGCTGCGGCCGCTGCGGAGGCCGCCGCTGCGCCAGCCACACTGGGCCCAAAACGACGTTTCCAAATGGCAGCAGCGCGAGTTGCAACGAGTGAGGCAGCAGGTAGACGGTTAGCACTCCAGCTCCTGAGACTTCCAGCAGCTGCAGACGCTGCTTCTCTGCTGTCGTCAGGCGCAGCAACAGCTGCTGCTGCAGCAACTTCCTCGCGTGCTGCAGCAACTTCTGGTGGGTCTTGGCTCACTCCACGTCCGTCTGTCTCCGCTGCATCGAGGGCTTCAAACGCGGCAATAAGGTACTGCTGCTGCGCATCAGGCGGCTCCTGCCAGTCCAGCAATGACTGCTCTTCGATGGCCTGTTTGGAGTCCGAAAGGCACAGGACGGTGCTTAGTGGGGCAAAACGCATACGTCCAATTTGCTCTTGCTGCTGGTGTTGTTGCTGGCGTTGCAGTTTCTGTTGCGCGTGTTTCTGCAAGAGGGCTGTGAGAGCAGCCTCTTCGCTGACTCTGGAAAAACTGAAATCGCCGAAGTCAACAGCAACCCGGCCGGTGAGCCCAGCTGTACACACAGTCACTACAAGGGGGCCTCCCTGGCGTCTGTGAGGCTGCCTCTCGTGCTGCAGTTGCCGCTGCCGTCCTTCCGGTTGCTGTTCACGCAGTTGCTGCTCCTTCCACTGGGACCGCAGTCCTCGAGCCATCGCAGAGTAAAAAATTTTTTGCTGCAGAGGTCTATCGCATAGCAGAAGCACATCGACTTGCTGCAGCACGTTCACCACACGCGCCCGCCAAGCGGCCGCAGTTTCCCCCGGCTGAATATGTAAGGCCACCTCCGAGACGCGAGCGTACGGAGCACCGACCCGCCGTAAAGCAGCACAGGCAATTCCAGCTCGAGTCACTGGACGCACTGGCTGCTGGCGCCGCTCGTGAGTTCCCAGCAGCTGGGCAGACAGGCTAACCCGGCGTCGTGGAGAAAACAGTGAAGGATCAGGAGCACCAGCGCCGTCGGCAGCTTCAGCAACGGCAAATGTAGCATGATCTGCTGCTTCTGAAGCTGCTGTTTCCGAAGCTGCTGCTTCTTGCTGCTCTGCATACTCAGCCAGGGCAAAGTTGGCTGCGCGTTCTTGAGGAGCCGGCTCCTCCGGGTCCGCCAACAAGACGCAACCCACCCCCGACTGCAGCAAACACTTTGCGGCCTCAACAGCAACAGCACTCGCGCCAATTAGCAGTACGCGTGAGTTCGGCAGCACTTTCTGCTGCTCCGGTCCCCACACCAGTAGCTGTCTTGACAGCAACGAGCGCAAGGACAAGTCATCGACTGCAGCCACTATAGAATCGCGTTCTGCGTTTGCCTCCTCGTGCGCCTGGAGCCCGGCAGAAGCAGCAGAAGGCACAGCAGCCTCACCATCCCCAACACTGAAGGGGAACGGCGGGGATACGCTAGGTGAAGTGAGGGCAGGCTGTTGATGAGGCGACTGCTGGATAGGCCTTCGCGCTTCTACTATTGCTGCCGTGGTTGCAGCTGCGCTCTTCCCCAGTATAGCGGCACGCGGGAGGCCTAGAATGGTACCACGAGACAACTCAGGTAGAAAGCCTGAAGGTGAATTTCTGCAACAGGCCTTCCTATTGCTGCTCCCATGGGGAGGGTAACCTCCCTTGTTGCGGCTGCGAAGCCATACTGCCGCCGACCCCGATGCAGTTGAAAGCAACAACAGCAGCAACAGTCTGATGGCAAAAGGCTGCCGCATGGTGCTCGCGTTCAATACATTTTGTCTGGATCTCCCGGCCCTGCCTACCCACAGGTTGCTGCTAACGGTGCTGCTTCTGTTGCTCTTGAGAAGTGAACCGGCCCCTGCTGCGTTCAACGCGCAAATACGGAAGGCGCTGTGTGTTGCGCCGGCCTCTCGAAAACTTTGGCCAGTTCTCCACCTGCAACAACATTTGCCCCTACCATGTCCAAGAACCGCCGGGACCCCACTCTGCTTGGGCGGAGTGTGCAGAACGCCGTGGTGCCCCCCAATATGCTGTAGTACTGATTCCTCTTCCTTACGGCGCAACAGCAACTGTAGGAAGATAATTCACTAGAAAGCAAACAGACACGTTGAAGTGTTCAACTACCGGTTGGGTGTCCCGCCCTGCAGGCAGTAGCTACTTGTGTCGCTGCAGCAGGACACGGAGGGCCTCATGCACACTCCGCATGACAGACAGTTATAAAATCCTTACCCCCCAACTGTTTTTCGGTTTTTTAGGAACGCCAGCTCTATCTAGTGCTGCACCAACCGCTGGAGCGGCGTCTGCAGCAGACTGCAGCGGACGAGAGTATCCGCTGCTTGACGCTATATGCATGCCTCTCCCAAGCTGCGAGGTTCATTTTGATAACCCATCCATAGCTGCGACCACTGCACTAGTAACGGTGTAACGGCTGTTCCTGTCCTTTGCACAGCGCATGCCGCTCTGGCTGCCGGAAGGCTGCAACTGGCGTCCCAGAGGTCGATTCATTTTTCTTCGTCCTATCGCCAGAGGCAGCAAGCAACTGCACCAACAGCTTCCCACGCGTGGCTATAGGTGCACGCTTCGAAGCCTGGTCTCTCGGAATGGTTCCTTTCTAGCTGCCGGAACTGTTGTAGCAGCCCTGTTACCTACTAAGTTGCCACTGCGAGGCAGACGCGTCCTGTTGATTCCCCGCAACGATACACTAACAAAACGCAGGTGAAACCAGCTACACCGTTGGGCTGTTGCTTCTGATGCCGTGGAATTTCCGGTACTTCAGCTGATTCGGGTACCCACATCAGGTGCTCCTAATCTACATTCTCCGTAACACTGTTGGCTGGGGGTTGGGGCTTCTGCGCTGCCGTGGCTCACAAGGCGCAGCATGGGTCAGACAACCTCAGCTACGGCACTCGAGATAGACGTGCAGCACCAGCAACAGATGCCGAGAACTTACGGGCAAGAAGAAGACCTTCCCTGCGCCTCGGAGCTCGTGAGCCATTTGCTATTGCGAATGGGTGCCTAGCCTTTGCATCATCCCGTCCTCGCAGTGCTCCAGGATTGCTGCGTTTTCTGGCTGTCTTTTTGCTAATAGTGTTCCTCCTGTATCTGTGTTGCTGCGACGCAGGCCGCTTATTTGCGTTGTCTGCGCCAGTCCGTTCGAGAATCTAATTCTAAAAGTGCCTGACCCTTTCATGCTAAGTATTGCTTCCGATGGTTGCTGTTCGCTGTGACTGCGCATGCTCTGTTATCTGCAGATACACAGGTTCGTTGGTGAGGATGCTGCACGACTGCGACGGTCGCAGGTGGAACTACAGGTGATCCCACAGTGGCTTCTGTGCCTTCAATGGTCCCCATTGTCTATGCCCCCTATGCTGGCCTTGAGGTGTCCTGCTCTCGTATTTCCGGTGTGGCTTTGCCTCTCTGGTGTTTTGCGGGCTTGATTCGCTAGGATTTTTCAAGTGTTGCATGGCGCTTTGCTGCAGACGCTGTCTCCACCTCGAGCGCCCATCTAGATTGACACTTTGACGCTCCTTCGGGCTGATTTGCATAGGTTGGCATCTCACTAGAAGCAGCGGTTGCGATGATCAGCGCGTATGGGCAACCGTCGACCCTGTTGCTTGCGTTGCCTCCTTCAGAGGAGGAAACAGGCGCAGCAAGTTCCGGTCGCAATCTCAGCAGCAGCAGCTCTGACAGCAGTAACAGCAGTAATAGAAGCACCAGCAGTAGTCGGGTAGTAGTGGATATTCAGGTGTCACCATGTGGGTTGTTCATAGCTGTTCTTTCTCGTTGGGGGATTCTTGTGTATAGCAACGGGCAATGCCGCATGCTCCTAGGCCGATGTTTGGTACCTCGAGACTCTGAGGTGTACGGCCGCTTGTGTTGCTGTTGCTGGGCCTCGGATTCGTCTGCCATTTTCGTCAGTGCCGACCCGCTGGCTTGTGTGTGCGTCTTCTCCATTCGAAGCAGCAGCGCGGGGAGCAGCGGGCTTCTGCAGCAGCAGCTACAGGAGCTCCATCCGCAATCAACAGCGAGCACGGAACCTTTGACTGCAGGTGCAGCAGCAGTAGCAGCAGCAGCAGCAGTAGCACAACCAGCCGGGAGTGAAAGCTGGCTCATGGAAGGCTTTTCCACAGCCGGTGATACGCGGTTTCCGGGCGACTCTGGCAGTATCAGCGAAGGCGACAGTCAAGGCAGTGAAGCGGAAGAGGAGCATATGCAGCCAGCAGCAGCAGAGAATGCTTTCACGGCTGAAGAAGCCATACGGTCCCTGCCTTCAATGATAACCGCATACCGGCCTCCCAATACTTCTCCTTTGTCTGTCTCCTTTTGCTTACTTCTGCGCCTTCCAGTGAGACCCTCAGCACTCTGCTGCTCGTCGGTGCAGCGACAACAGCTGCTACTGCTCGCAGGCTGCAGCAGACAACCTGCCCTCTTCTGGCTCCACCTGGGAGGGCTTAAACAGGTGTTGGGGTGTTTGTACATCAGCGATTTGCTACGAGTAGCCAAGAGAGCGGGCGTATGCCCTGGAAATTCTGGCCCTCCGTCGGCAGCAGTTGCAGCTTCTGGGGTTGCCTATACATCGGCGGCGCGAGCAGCCTGCTCAGGAGCAGCGTACCAAAATAAGAGCACTGGCGCTACTGGTGGGTGTGGCTGCTCGTGTAGCGCCTGTGCGGGTCGCTGTTGTTGCTTTCTGGAGCAACCGTCACTCCGGCAGATCCGACGTAAAAGCAGCAGCAACGGCACGTCAGCAGCAGCAGAAGCCTCGATAGGAGCAGCAACGTCGCCTTCCTCTAGACAGTGCAGATGCCTAGGGAGGCGCAGGCTCATTACTTACCTGTTCCATCCCAAGGGTTTTGCTGCTGTGACGGAGCTTCTGCGGCTTCCTCTCTGTCAGCAGGACGGACAGCTCTTGCCCGATCTTCCGGATGTCTTTCTCTCGGGAGTCGCTGCTCGGAGCCTTGGGAGCCCTTCACCTACGTCAGTGGGACACAGGAGCGCTCCAGCCAGCACAAGGTGCTCGCGATTGACACATGCGATGCAGGCGCTTCGGACAAATGGATGCGACAGCTTTGCCGAGTGCAACAGCGGGAATCCAACAGAGGATGACGTAGTTGGGACTAGTCATTTTCACCGCTGTGACCAGGGTCGCAAGGTTGGGGAGCCGTTACCTGCCAGCACCTCTCAGCGGCAGCTGCACGAAGGCGCTCTGCTCAGCAGCGACGACAGCAGCACGGGGAGCGTCAGCAGTAGCCGCCCTAGCACTACTACAAACTGCAACAACAAGGACAGCCTTGCCGTTAAGGGAACAGAAGCGTTCAGAAGCAGCCAGAGTACAGGCGCAAGGGAGACAAGGGCAGATTCTCTTGCTTCGGCCGTTTCATTTTGGGGGGCTAGAGAAGGCATTGACAGCAACCTTTTCGACGGAGCAACAGCTGCAGCTGCATGGGGGCCCAGCAGCAGTAGCGGGGGCACCAGCGACGACGGAGTATTGCCGCTGGGGTGCAGCAGGCTTCCTACGAGAGGGCCGCGCAGCGCTCGGCGGCTAGATCTGCGAGAGGAGAAACGGGGAGGTGGGAAGCGGTTAATGCATAGCCTGACGGATGACGTCTTGTCGGATTATGAGGCCCTGTATGCGCGCTGCTGCGGGGGGGTGCGCCAGCTGCAGCTGAATCGTCGACTTGACCTCTTAGCTGTGGTTACAGCCGCAGGGGAGCTGCTTCTGCTGGCCTGGCGCTTTCCCATAAGGGGTTATACTCAAGTGGATGAGCTCGACGAAATTGGTACTCCAGCTAAGGGTGCAGTGAACGAGCAACGCCCTAAGGGCCCCCTGGCTATCCAGAGGCAATTGCAGCAACTGAAACGGGAAGTTCCAACGTCAGCCACAGCAGAAACTGGAACAGATACAGCTAAAACGCCCGATTTGAATAGTGGGAGCAGACAGCTGAGCGGTGGTAGATGCACAAGCAGCAATATCCACAGCCCCTGCAGGGGCTGCGGAAGCATCTCTATAGGGGCGACCATGGACGGGCGCGTCGCAATAGGGCATTCTGCACGTGAAGGCTTTATGAATGCTCTCTCGGTTCCGGCGACCGGTTACAGCAACAGTACCACTAATAAGCTGAGGCCTTGGCGGCCGCTGGGGCTCCAGCTCAGGGCAGAAGCAGTGTGTTGCTGCGCGCTTAACGGGGGACGCAGTCTCTTAGCAGTGGGCCTCGAGAGTGGTGCTGTCGAGGTGTACAAGCTAATGTGGCCTAGGAACCCAGCGCAACGAGCTCGTCGCTCTTGTAAGCTGCAGCAGCAGCAAACGCAGCAACGCCAGACTAGGCGCACCCACAGGAATGTTGAACGCGATGGCTTTACGCTGTTCCCGCAGCTGCTTCATGTGATAACTGCCCCACATGACATCATGGCGTCAGCAGCGCAGCCAGAACGGTCAGGAACAAGCCATTCAGCAGCAGGTGCGGCTTCCACAAGGGGCCCTTCTTACTTGCACGCACAGAGTGTCCAGAGTATGCAGTGGACAGCAGACGGTGCAGCCCTTGCGGTGCGGTGGTTAAGAGGGGGAGCCGCTGTCTTTAGCCACACGGGGAGCATATTATTCTCTCTCCCTAATTCTCTCTCCCTAACTCGACTAGTGAACGGGGAGCCGCTTCGGCTTCTGCTGGTTTTGTCTACCCCATCAGTAGGATATTCGGGGGAACTCAGCGGCTGGGACGTCAGCGAAAGTACTTCTGTGCAAGAGAGGCTTCTGCGAATGCAGCAACCACTGCAGCAGCGGTTATTGCAGGGGCAGCTGCGGGCGCGGGCCAGCTGTGCAGTTGGATCATGGGCGGTCTTTCTCTTCTGCATGTAAGTCCGTCTGGTGAATCCAACGCTCGGCCGCAGCCCGATAGCGGAAGCCCCGAGCATGGCAACAATTCGTTGTTTTATGAAGCTGACCCCACAGCTGGAGGCTTCCATTCAGAGCAGTTGGTGGAGGTACCTGTCGTGCGGAGCGCATCGGTATCTGTTGCAGCTTCGTCAATGGACGTTTGTGGCAGCCGCTGTGCGTCAGACCTGACCGAAAGGTGAGGCTGCTGGTTTCGTGCAGTCTGAAAAACCCGAGCATTTGCTGCTCAAGAATGCGGTTCGATTTCGTGCTCTTGTGTCTGGCATGCTTGAGAGGGCATATGATCTGTGCCGCTGTGTTGCTTTCAGGGTGATGATAGGAGGCTCCCACCTGCTTGTTTGGAGCTTCGTGGGCAACATGAGGGCATCTGCCTCATTCTCCCTCGTTCCGCCACCCCCTAGTTTGTATACAGCAAAGGCTTTCCCCGTGCGGCAGGCAGCACTCTCTCCAGATGGGGCTCAGCTGCTCGTCGCCGGAAGCCGGGGCTTCGCTTTGTTTGCTTTGTTGCATCGGCGGTGGCGGCTTCTCTGTATGGAAAAGCAGGAGGCTCAGCTTCCTACGGGCACCCTTCCCTTAGGCTGGTACACAAAGGACATCTTCTTCGTATCGACGCCGGCGTTTGACCCGTATGACTCTGCTGCATCGGCAGCAGGTGCTGCAGCAGCACCAGAGCCCCGTAGCGTGCTGAATGCTCCTGATGAAGCGCCGCGTTGGCTTCTGCCGCTCGGTACGTTCCATAGATTTGAAGCTGCTGTGGCCGCTGCCGTGGACTGTTGCCCTTCCAGGTTTGCAGCTCATGTTCCGCTGGCGATTCACGAGAAGACGGCCTGGCTCCAACAACAGCAGCAGCAATATCAGCAGCCTGCCTCACGCCTGTGGGGAGCGACTGGGACAGGCAGCGGCTCTAAGGAGCTCTCTGCAATTGCCGCGGGTGCAGCAGCTCGCGGAACTGGGGGAGGCAGCGGTAGCGGGACCATGTGGCACTACGCTGTGCTGTTTCTGAGTTGCAGCGAACGGCTGGACCTGCGTTGCCGCATTGCAGAAATTAAGCGTCTCCCGGCGAGACCGCATACAGCGACAGTGCTACCGAGCCTACACCAACAGCAGCTCGCTCGCCCTGCAGCCTCTCTTGGGTCCCGTTGTTGTTTGTGCCACCATAGAAGCAACAGTAACGGCAGCTGCTGTATGGTTTGTAGCGGCCTTGCGGCTTTCTCTTTGCGGAGCGTTGGCTTCTGCCGCTCGGTACGTTCCATAGATTTGAAGCTGCTGTGGCCGCTGCCGTGGACTGTTGCCCTTCCAGGTTTGCAGCTCATGTTCCGCTGGCGATTCACGAGAAGACGGCCTGGCTCCAACAACAGCAGCAGCAATATCAGCAGCCTGCCTCACGCCTGTGGGGAGCGACTGGGACAGGCAGCGGCTCTAAGGAGCTCTCTGCAATTGCCGCGGGTGCAGCAGCTCGCGGAACTGGGGGAGGCAGCGGTAGCGGGACCATGTGGCACTACGCTGTGCTGTTTCTGAGTTGCAGCGAACGGCTGGACCTGCGTTGCCGCATTGCAGAAATTAAGCGTCTCCCGGCGAGACCGCATACAGCGACAGTGCTACCGAGCCTACACCAACAGCAGCTCGCTCGCCCTGCAGCCTCTCTTGGGTCCCGTTGTTGTTTGTGCCACCATAGAAGCAACAGTAACGGCAGCTGCTGTATGGTTTGTAGCGGCCTTGCGGCTTTCTCCTTGCGGAGTCTCGCTGCAGGCAATACCGCAGAGCCTCTTCTGGCAATATACGATGCTCTGGGAATCCTAACTGCTTACCAGTTGCAGCAGCCACGGCTGCAGCGCCAACAGCAACCTCGGCAGCAAGATGTTGTAGCTCTCTGGCAACTTGATCTATCTGATTTCTGCGATAGCCCACCCCAGCAAATACGCTTCGTGGGGTGTGCGTGGCTTTTGTTAGTGCTGCTTCAGTCTGGGGCTCTGTTGCTTGTGCGCTTGGGCATCCCAGGGTCAGGCCACCATGCGCATCACAGGATACACCGCATTCCCCGCCTCATTGTAGAGGCGTCTACTGTAGTAGCTGAGGGCGTTACCGGGCTTTGGGTGGGGGCGGAGGCGCAGCTGCAACAACACTATTTGGTGCCGTCCTCGCGTTGCTGCATCCTTCGTCCACAGCAGCAACGCCAGAGGCAACAAAATCAGGAAGTTGGTGGAAATGGAGTAGGAGAGCCAGCTGCTTGCTGCTGCTCGTGTTTGGCGCGTGCGACGGTGCCTCCACGACAATCTAACAGAAGAGAACACCAGCAAGATGTTCCTCATCAGCACGAGCCTGCATCGTGTGGCCTGCGCATGCCAGAGGAGGTTGCAGTTCAGCAAAGCAGCGTACATTGTTCAGACCCAGATCGCAAGCCAACCCTGGTAGACGACAAGCTGAATACCTGCAGCATAGGACGCAGCAGCAGCAGCAGCAATATTAGGGCGGCAGAAGGTGCTGACGTTGAACAGTGTAAAGGAAGGAGTGCTCTGCCATTGCCACGGCCTCTGTCTAGTAGGAAACCGGCGGCTTCAGTCTCTCATGCACCACATTCGGATAGCCTCCACGGAAACTTGTCAGCAGAAAGAGCGGCAATATCACCTCCATTGGATGGTTCTCGAGAGCCGAACACCGCAGCAGCGCCACTAAGCCCGCTTCCCCTCCAGAAAATTGTTGACTTTAAGCGGCCTGTTGCAGTTGTACCCGTGCTACCCAGATGCCGCACCAACAGCGACCTCTACGAGCTGCAACTCCAGCGTGTGCAGGAACAAGAGCCGTTAACGCACTTGATGAAGGAAAGGTATGCTCCGCTTTTACTTCCGGTTCTCACGGCTGAGAGATCCCACAAGACTGGCAGTGCATCGCATCAGGCTTGCAAGGTCTCTGGCAGCACACCTGAGGACGAGGGTGGGATAGCAGCGAACGGAACGCCAGAACCGCTTATTCGGCTGGAAGGGTCCCGGCGGTTGCCGCACAGCCGTGGGAAGCTCAGATTGAAAGTAAGATGTGTGTTTTGCCGTTATGGTGTGGAGTTGCTGTGAAGGTATTAACATTGGTGGTGCTTCGCCGGTCTAAGCAGCTGCCATGTCGTTTGTATACGATGCACAAGTGGAAGGTTGCCGGATCCTTGGGGTGCTGAGGGCCCTCAGTAGTTTTGCGAAAAAAAACGTGCATCACCGACGTGGACGGCGGCAGTCATCGGTTGTTTGATATTAATGGCTGATGTGGTGCAGACTGCGACGTCTGCTGCTGCTGCATAGCTGGGTGGCATCTCTGGGCTCAAACAGCAGCGGGGCTGTTACTGGCTTCCGTTGGGTTTCACTACTCTGGCACCGCAGCAGCAGCGGCGACTACGGATATCAGGCCGGAACACGTGCTCGCAGTAACTGACGTACGTTTGCGCTCCGCTTTGGTTCTCCCGGTAGAGGCTCGCCCGCATCCCCTTCACATCGTTGGGGTAATCGGAGAGGTAAACGCACTGCATTGCCAGGAACGCTGCCGTGCAGCTGAATAGCATGCATGCAAATGCGATGCTGTGTGGAGTTTGCCTGCACCTTCTTGTTAGTGGAGGCATTGGCTCGAGTGTGTAGCAGTGTGGGCCTGCGTGGGCCAGCACGTTCGCTGTAGCCGCTAACATTGCTTGCTGTGTTTTGCATCTTCAGCTCGGAGTGGCTGTCGCCTGTACCCCCAGCCGCGAGGCAGCGCATGGATTTTCATTGCAAACCCAACCTGCCACTCAGATACGGCTGCTTCTACAGCCCTGTACGCATGCCCTACTGCAGCGGCAGCTGCTAGCCGCAGTTACATGCATTCCTGTACGTTCCAGCGAGTCGTTTATGCTTGTCAAGCGACGCGCATGTGATGCAGTTGCGAAGGGGCTCTTGAAGGGCTTCACCAGCTGCACGGCGAGCACCAACAGCACCTACAGCAACCAAGACAACTGCAAGCGACTTTTTGTTTCAGTGTCAGCGCTTGTGCGGGAATTACTGGCGTCCGCGTTTGCCCATCATCTGCTGGAATTGCCACAATTTGGGCTCTTGATGCGCTGTATATCTACATATTTGAAAGCAGCGAAGTGGCGGCGACTCCAGCTTCGATCGGACAGGAACAGATTGCACAATCTTTTACACTCCAGTGCAGCTGTCGGCGTACCATGCGTAGGAAGCACCCACAGGGGTGCATTCGAAGATCTCGCTGAAAGTGTGCGCGCTGCTGCTGCTGCGGCCCTTGGAGGTTCATCAGAAGGCGTTGCTTTGCAGTGGTTCCTGCGATTACTGCAGCAGAAGTCTCCTCATCTGTTCGTTGCAACGCTTGTTTTCTGTATGCGGAAGACGGAGCCGCTTGTCTCGCCGGCAGTGCTTGGGTCTTTATTGCAACGACAGGTGCCTCCGGCTGACCCCATCACTCTCTTTACCAAGTGCCTGCAAAACGGACTTCTGCAGACAGCTTCGCTTTACTTGCTGCCCATCCAGACGGCGGAGGGCCCACTTCAGGTACTGCTTTGCCGTTGCTTGAGCGTCTTGTGATGGTCCTCACCCTTAGATTTGGATCGAGATGTTTGGTGCTCCAAGATTTCCTGTGTGCGATAAAGCCATGCATTGTGAAGGCTGTGTCTCTGGTTTTGCAGGTGCGGTGTCGCCGTGTGCTGCCCCTTCTCCGTGCTGCGCTAGTAGCAGGAGATTTCCTTCTAGTTCGCAAATTGCTGCATTTTTTCTGGGCGTTTTTTAGGAGGAGGCATCATCCAATGTCTGCTAGGAGGTGGTGCACGGTGCAGCAACAACAGCATTTGGCGGATTCTGCATCCGAATGTCTCGCGGATAGCACATTGGAGTGGCTTCCGCATGGGCAGCCTTCGGAGAGTCAGCTGAAAACTGCATTCAGAATCCACACACGAATGAGCCACCAACTCGCACACCTCCGCTCTTTGCTGTGGCGTCCACTACAGGCAGAAGGGTTTTTAGATTTCCCAGTAGCCGGCACTTCAGGTACTGCTTTGCCGTTGCTTGAGCGTCTTGTGATGGTCCTCACCCTTAGATTTGGATCGAGATGCTTGGTGCTCCAAGGGTGCCTATGTGCGATAAAGCCATGCATTGTGAAGGCTGTGTCTCTGGTTTTGCAGGTGCGGTGTCGCCGCGTGCTGCCCCTTCTCCGTGCTGCGCTAGTAGCAGGAGATTTCCTTCTAGTTCGCAAATTGCTGCATTTTTTCTGGGCTTTTTTTAGGAGGAGGCATCATCCAATGTCTGCTAGGAGGTGGTGCACGGTGCAGCAACAACAGCATTTGGGGGATTCTGCATCCGGATGTCTCGCGGATGGCGCATTGGAGTGGCTTCCGCATGGGCAGCCTTCGGAGAGTCAGCCGAAAACTGCATTCAGAAGCCACACACGAATGAGCCACCAACTCGCACACCTCCGCTCTTTGCTGTGGCGTCCACTACAGGCAGAAGGGTTTTTAGATTTCCCTGTAGCCGGCAGCACAGGGCAAGCTGGCGCTGATGGTAGCTTCCACACCAACCCCTGGTTGTCCCGCGTCCCGTTGGAGCTACCGCGTGTGGATCGTCTACTAGCTGCACGGGTGTATCAGGAAGTCGAGATGGCTGTTGCCGCGGCTGCTTGTGGATTACTACAACAGCAGAAGTGGCTACGACTGTTCGACTTTGCGACGACTTTAGGTCTTGATCTTCCGGCTTGGCTGAGGGTCCACAGCAACGGCGACTTGTTGCAGCAACTTGACCAACCACATAAACGAGGAAGCCAGAAACATATCTCTGGGACAGACGGGTTGACATCCTCCCTGACAGCAAAGGCACAGCCGGAAAGAGCAGGGCCTGCATCTGCGCTTGCAACAGCGGGGGGGACACCAACTGCAGCTCGTCTCTTTTCTGAGGCAGTCTTCTCTTTTGCACAACAGCTTCGCATTGGCGATACGTGTGTGTCCTTACGTCTGAAAAGGCCGTTCTTGCACGAATGCTCTCGATTACTGGTGGAAAGGAAATGCAAACGACAGTCTCCTACTTGGAAGGACGAGGTACACGTGGCTGATACTGGTGCAGAAGTGCTGAAAACAGCTCTTAGGCACTCAAGGATATGTACTGCATATCTAGTACCCCCGCTGTGCACTAACGGAAACAGGGAGCAGCAGGCTACAGCCGAGATAGCTCGGTATCTCGCAAACGTGTTGTTGCTTTCGGGGCATCCAGCGTACTCTCTGGCACTGGCAGCAGCCGTCCGTGACAGAGACTCAGTAGCGCAGATACTCAGCTGGTATCCTCTACTACGTTCTTTTTTCCAACAATAGTTGTTGCGGCGTGGGCTGGTGAAGCTGGGGAGAAAGTGGAGTTATCGAGTTGCCACGCAGCCAGGGGAGGTTGGGCAGGCGATTGCAAAGAGCATCTTCGTTCAACAGCAGACTTGATAATAGCTCAATATGATAAGGGACTGATGCTTGAGTTGCATGAGCAATCGTGCGTCATTAAAGAAAGCAGTAGCAGCGCTGGCTTTTTACCTCGAAATAGCAAGCTTTGATTGCATCGTAGCTCCGCAGTTTCTGTCTGTCGACATGGATTGCTTTTTTTGTATACAGTGAAGGAGCGCTTTTTCTTCACATTCAGTGGCACGCAAACAATGCCAAACCGTGGAGTTTGCGCGCAGCCCTCTGAGCTGAAGGACGTAAAGTTGCCTACAATGCGTCGACACTCCAGTGTGGCAACGCTTGTGTTTCGATGCTTTGCAAGAATCGCCCAAGAGTTCCGACTGGCACCGTTGTACTGGAACATTATAGATGATTATACAGACGAATGAGGCTCTGCCAAACAGAAGGCAGCTCCCATGGCGATCGTCAAACGGAGGCTGCCCCTCGTGAGGCGGACATGAGCTATGCATAGTTGGATGCATTTCGGGGAGCGCAAACTCTTCAAGGAGCTGGTTCCTGTTCACCTCGGCATATGTGAGCAGAGAGCTTGCCATGACAGTTGAAGAGGCCCATGAGACGTTGTCCAGCTAAAGTTATCCCGACAATGTCCCTTAACGCAATATGTTGCTTCCCTGTGCACGCCCCTAACTAACTATACGCCATTGAATGACTAGCCTGTGTTTTTAGGAAGGAAAGCCTCAGCTCTCAGCTTGAATGCTGTCCTATTCAGCCATTTTAGCTTCTGTCTTTCCTATTGTAGGTAGTGCCGGTACACGTTAAGAGTGCCCGTGCTGCTACGGCTGTAGGTACTCACCAGCCACGGTTGGTCCGAACTCCAGAAAGTGAACAGCTGGACTGATCTGCCCAAGCAAATACCGGTCATCCAAACCAGTATAGCGTATGTCCAGAATACGCGCACATGCACAGAGCACTGGTGGTAAATATTCAAGTTGGCATGCGGCGCATGAAGAAGGCACTGATGCGCACAATTCGAATATTCTCGACGCGTCCGTTTCAACGTCACTACAGGGAAGTGTTTTTGGTAGTGCACTGGGCTGGCAGACTGCTGCTGCAAAGTGTCTCCCCCTTGAAGCAAACAAAGGGTAAATATTCAAGTTCAGTTCTAGTTCCTGGGGCTTCTGTCGGGTCATTCGAGAATGACACGCATGCTAAGGAGTTCTGCCATGGAAATTTGCTTTCATCCGTATCAAGAAACCCCTTTCGACGAGGTATCTCTTTCATAGCCCTTTTTGAAAGGAGGTAATTTGAGGTTTCTCACGTCGAAGAACTTCGGAAGCGAGTCTTCTAAAGTGAGTCAGCGTGGGAAAATGAGAGCATTCCGTGCATTGTGCAAAACCACTGTCTCAGGAAAGCTGCCCTTCTCGCGACCTCCCAATAGTAATTCTGTACAACAACTTGGGTAAAGCGCAGGAGAGCCTCTGTTGAAGGCCAAAATGAGGGAAGAAAAAACAAACCAATAGTTGAGGAGATGATCATGAGAACGCCTTCGTCAAATGCTCTTGTTCTCCCTATTCTCTGCACCACGACGACAAAATCGGGAGTCGTCCTTCCTCCAAAGATCCCACATCTTATGTTCAAAATAGCCATAGTTACCTAAAAGTTCGAGAATGTCCTTCTTAAGAGCGATTACATCAACTACAGCCGGACGCAAACCTTTCTTGTACATAGCCAACGCCTCAGCAAGACGGTTGACCAAATCAGGAAGCCGCCTCTCAAGATCCCTCTTCCCTACATAGCTGTCGGGAAAATAATAGTCTGTTTTGAATTTGGACACAAACATATCCCACCACTTCTCGGTTTCCATTTTTTCTTGCAAGAGCATGATCGTGCACACCACGTAGTCAAACATGAAAAGTAGCGTTCCCAGTCGCCTAGCGACAAAGAAAGCCCCCTGCTTCGAAAGAGGAGCCGTCATCTTGTGGACAGCGTGGTTGACTAAATATTCGCACTGACGCAAGAGCGCTTCCACCTCCCAAGAATTCAGTGATTGTTTTGCAAGCAACCTACGCATCTGCAAGAGTATGCGCAGAGAGGATCTTTCAAACACATTGGTGGAGAATGCAATCTCTGTCCTGAAGGACCTTGGAATATCGTTTGGGCTTACCAATGGCAGCCTCACGAATGGGTGTGTGAGCTGGTTCATCTCCTCTGCCTCACCGCATAAAGCGCTCGTGGGAGCAACGGCCCTGGCAGAGCTTGACGACTCTTGAGAACCCCATAAAACTTCGGCCCCTTGTGCTGGTTGTTCCCCTTCGCGCTTGCTTTCTTGTTGGGTTGTGGCTGCGACCAAGTCGAAAATCGCTTCCGCCTCTTCGCCTCCACGCAGAATTCCGTTCTGCTCTCCGCTTACACGAGCTTCAGAGAATGAATCAGCGCCGGCTGCCGGATGCGGATGCGGTGCAGTTTGCAATAGAACGACAGGTCCACTCATGTGGGACTCTTGGAATCTTTCTGTATTTGCCCCCCGAAGCATGCTTGCAGGCAGAACAGGTTGATGGCCGCGTGCTGTTGTATTTGCCTGTTCGCTATCGGAGCTTCGACATGCCTGACAACGCTTTTCCTGAGCTCCACGCAAAGTCCATGGCCCATAAGTTCCTCCTACCGGGCTCCCAGCGAGGCCCTGACTCATACTGGTTGCAGGCAAGAATCCCGACAAAGTACTGGCTGCTTTTGGTCCCGATAAATCCTGGATATGAGCTTGAGAGTCAGATGCGTCCCCACGAGACAATGCCACTCCCATGGGGCCTACTTGTAACTCCTGGTGCTCGTTGGTGACAGGTAAGCTCCATGGAATCGTATCCAACCACGCATTAGGATCAAATGCATCCAAATGCATGTTGGTTTTACCATCTGTAGGAAGTTGGTGCAGCACAGCGCCAGGCGCTTGCTGTTGTGGCAAGGGGGGGAAAGCCGACGGAAACTCCCCAGTAGCACTGTAGGGTGCACTTTGTGCCCCAACGGAAGAAACAGCCCCTCCGGAGGAACGATTCCAATGGGGCCCTCCCGAACTCCCGTCGGCCATGTGCGGAGCACTTCCACTCCAATCTGTTTCCTGTGAGAGACTCTCTACGAAGCTTCCCAAACCGTGTAGGTGCAAACTTTCATCCCATGTGACCATTTGGTGCTGTATAGCTCTCGCTTCTTCAAAATTTGCTGCTGAGTTATAAATTAAGGAAACGTCCACACCCTGCTCACTGGTAAAGAGGGCTGTGCCCGAGAAGCCAAGTTCTTCTTCTAGTTCGACACATTGCTCTAGAATTACTGATAACTCTTCCTCATCCCCAAGGTCCGAGAGACTGCGCTTCACCAGCCCTGCTGTATTTGTCCTGTTATGATGGGTGTAGCAAAGGGCTATCAAGGAGGCAACTGCCATTAGCGAAACAATGGATATCAGCGCCACAGTCACGAGCCGACGGTGATGTGGTGTCCGTCGCAATTTGCCCACCGGCTTCAACCGAAGATAGTCCTCGAAAGATGCTCCAACAGGGTTACCTGGGTCTTCTGCCTCTCCTGGTGTATGGAAGGCTGACGCAGGTGTATGCTCTTCCAGCACCCCCTCCTCAAAGAAATGCCTTCGGTCAGTTCTTCCTGGACCCATCCCTAATTGCTGCGCGTAGCAACTACGGCCATGCTTAGGAGCTAGATGCAGCCTTCGAAATTAAGAGCATGAGGGCTTTAAGTTCGGGAGAATGAATGTACTTCTTCTCTACGCTGTGACGAGACTCTGGCCCAACAACAGCACAAGGTTCCCGCTGCACCCGTAGCACAGCAAATCTTACTTGCTGATATCTGACTGGTTATGCTAGATTCTAATCCGCATAGGAAGGAAATAGCTCGCGGTAGAGAGATGTGATGGAACAGCGCTTGTCGGGTTTGTGAGCAACAGGAAAGGGAGCAGTTTCTGTCCCAGACCTGGTGCTGTCGTTGCGACTGGTTACACAGGAGGGAAAAAATGAAGCCGGTACTGGGAATCCGGGATTATTGTTTTCTTTAATGAATTAATGATTAAAAATGAGTCTACTTTCCTCAGAATATTAAACGGGGAGGATCTTAGTGCCACTACGGTACAGACTGTCGTGCATCGCCGACTGCGATTCCACGTGGGCACGTGAGATATGCAGTGACACTTCCTCTGCCCATAAAATTCCTATATTATGTACCTTATTCATATGCATACTTAAGCAGTTTCTATGGCAGAATTACATGTGTTAGTGGAGTTGTTCTGCTCCGCAAGGCCAATCTTGGTTTGCCGTATCTCCGTTTTGCTGTAGGCGCAAGAAAATAGATAATATTTGTTCCTTATTGTCGAGTCAGCTATATCGCCCATTTTTCCAGAGTCGACCGATTCCGCTGTCTCTTTTTTACTATAGGCCTTCCAGGCTCGTCGCAAGACTTTTTGACGTCACTCCATTCTAGCATGGTCTTGCCCGTTCGTGCATTCAAGCTGCCTGCTAAGGGCCAAGAAAGTGTTTAGCAAACGCTCCATTGTTACTGCTTGCAAAAAGAGGATTGGCTGTGCCTTCAGGCGGCTATACCTGGCAGCAGCGAGGGGCGTTGCACCTCAGCGCAGGCTGCTTCCTCCCTTCCCCATTCCCAGGAGGACGCCTGGAAACTGGAGGTGATGTGAGCTGGTTTTGGGTAACTTTTGCGCTAAATATTTTGACTCAATTGGTGCTCACGACGGTCGTCGGGTAAGATTGAGGATTGTCCTTTCACTGTGTAGCGACGCATGTTCCATCTGGCCAAGTGCGAGAAACCAACACCACCCTCCACAGCAGGACGGGGTGATGCATAGCATTCATTTGCGGAGGTGAATTGTGGGGAGAACTGATCCCGCAAAATCTTTAGATACTCTCAAAAATCGTTTCTCAACATCTCAGCCCTGTTCTAGTCCAGCATCATGGAGGTTGGTCAGGATTTGCCCTCATGGGGGAAGCGAGCAGCGGTTGGGAAACACGTCTCGTTGTTGCCAGCTCAGTTTCTGTGCCCCACAAAGCGGAAGTGGTCTTCGTATCAAAAATAATTCGCGGAGATCCCACCTTTGCCAGCCGAATAGATATGACGGGCTCCGTGTTGCGGGAGCGCTGGAGGGATTCCTTGCCTTTCTGGGGCGGTATATCCATCTCCAAAGTGCACACGAAGGGCTACAGCTGTTTGTGGCATTTTTCTTATTATAAGGGGGAGCACGAGAATAGTGGTAGTGCATTTTCCGGAGCACTTCCGGAATTATAGAGCCCCCCGAGATGCGTTGCGATTAACGCCTACTCCCACGGCAAGGGAACAGGCTATCGCACAACTGAGAAAACTTAAAAACGACGGAATCTGGGACGGAATTCGTATATCAATGTTTTATTGCAAGGCTTGCCCCCGGCGAGAGGCAATCTGTAAGCGGGTGGGCTGCGGAACGTGACCTTGCGCACCAAAAAGAAAAATTGCCATTTGTGTCTCCCTTCCAGAGATAAAAGGAAGCGCATCTGGGGGCGAGCAAGGTACAGGGCCTATGCTGGGGTGGTATGAATGCAACCATCAACTTGCCCCTTCCAGAAAGATAATAGAAGTGAAAACAAAGGGCAGCCGGCAAATCCTCGTCCGGGGAAGCCCATGGGAAGTACCGAGGCGTGCATTAACTTCCTTTTTCAAAACCCAAGGTCAAGTAATTTGATATTGCAGCCGCATGAAGGTGATATGGTACTGGGGAACCACGACTTCAAGAAATGTCACCAGTGGGTAAAAGAAAGTGAGCTGGGAAACGCCGTGGCCCACAAGCAGCCTGTGGCGCGGTGATGGTTCCGAAAGAGAAGGAAACCGCGCCTACAGATCCGCCTCGAGCCAGGTCAACGCTTTTTCAAGTTCTTTTGAACTTCGGACTTATGGTCAGGAGCTGTTAATGCTACTTGACAGACTGGGAAGTGGATCTGATACGTGAACGAAGGCAACGAGGTGCGCCAAAAAAATTCGTCGTAGGTTTCTGCGACTACACGCCGTGAACGGCGGGCAGAGCACGAGTGTCGGCAATATTATGTGGAAAAATGCTAAAACGGTGCGAAAATGGGTAACATTCCAATGATTCAAGGCATTCACCACGGCGTCATCATATATGTTATGGAGATCACTACAATTAACCAAAGTGTCCATTGGAACACAGCGTGAAGGACGAAGTAAAGCGTAAGGCAGGAAGAACTTTAAAGAAAACGAAATAAAGAACCTGGGAAGCAACTAGAGGGCCTTTGCTGGGAAATGCATAGAAGAGGGCTAGCAAGGCTTGCCCCAAGCCCCACACAGTGCGCATTGCAGGAAGGGGCCCCACTATGCCGCCTGAGAGTATTCTCAGAGGCAGCGCCAAAATAAATAATCAAGTGGGGAAAACAAAATTAAAATCTTATATGGGGTGAATTCAAGTAAATGTTGGAAATAATAAGTGCACAGTACGCGAGCGTCACCGTTGGCGGGCAGAAACGCTACAGTGCAAGCGGCGCTATGGAGACGTGCAGCTCATTTTCGTCGATTTGTAAATTGGACTCTGTATTAATTTGAGTAGGAGGCAATATTTATTGAAGGGGAAGGACACAAGGCCGGGAATATCACCCTCATTAGCCAGTGTAGGGACACGTGCGGGTACGTAGCCTGATTTGGTGCATCAGACTAGGCATGCCGTAGGTGACCCAGCACACGCGGCGCTATACGCCGGAGCTAGGACGGCGCCACACACCACCTCGCACCGTGTCGGGGTGTTTGAGCTGGCAAGCCCAACTACGCAGGTGACCGTGCATGAGGACTTGGTGCTTTTTCACTCCTTGCGCTTGCCTGCTTCCCTTCGTCAAAGTAAGCTCCTTTTTAGTTCTAGGGTCAACCTGCACTGCTCGGCAGCATAAGGAGTAGGAACAAGGGAAGGAATACTTCGATGCGTCAAATAACAGATAGCTACGGTTGGTTGGCCACCCGTTCAACATGCATTGCATTGAGCTCACTCCCGAAGCTGTAGTGAACAGCTGGCCTACACTGTTACTACATAAGTTTCCTAAGCTATGCTGAATAGGTGCACACACTATATCCAGATACCAAATTCTACGAATCTCGCTGTAAACCACTAATAGACGCAATTAACAATCAAATATACGATCGAGTTCCTATTATTGGTCGGAAAGAAAACCCAGAATAATAGAACTGGTACGCGACCCTCGCCGAGAGCGTGGGCCAGGGTCACAGCAACAGCGCCGCACCCAGCCCCAAGCTGGTGTCGGCTGGCGACCACTCTGATCCTATGAAGCTGCTTTTCTATCTAAAAGTGCCCTAATCCCTGAAATATTCTACAGTATTTGTTGCTTTGCATGATATTAGGCCTCTAGAGGCCACGCCAAAGCTCCATTGTAGTGCCTGTGCACTACATCAACACAACAGTGGAGTGGGTGGTTAGGTCATTTTTGTTGCCTAGGATGAGCCCTCCGCAGAGGAATATCACCTCACTAGCCCTGAATGCCAGCAGCTAAAGCAACGGGTCACTCTCAAATCTTGACTCGTGCGGGTTTTTCCAAGCCCCGAATGGATATAGACGAATATCTCAATGGATATCATAATCAGTTTACCGCCAGTGAAAATCTGCGAGAGCACCGATGCTGCAGTGCACACGCATTACAATTGGCTATCCGTTGAGCCTCCGGCGAGCTAATTCGCGATAAAGCAGAATATAAGGAATATTTATTACTAAGCAAAGAGCCTTTAGAGCAAAGCTGTGGCCAATTAGGCTACGAGTGCCTACAGCCTTTACGGTATAGGGGCTGACTGGCCCGAGAAGGCCCGGCCATAGGGGATCAGGCGGGAGGCAGAACAGCCCATGGGACCAGTCGTTTAGTAATGGGAGCAGGATTTTGGATATGAAATCCATGATAGGGCGTTTTAGGGCCTTTTCAGGAGTATTTGCATCGTGTGGCGTTAGACATATAGTATGCACCTATGTAGTAGGAGACTGTCCGAGGTGTGAGTACTTGCCTTTATGCAGCTGAAAGCTGTTTTCGAGATCAAAATGCTCTAGATTCGACTCGCATTGCATCAGCATCTATCCTCTGGACACCACAAGGTTCGGCTAGCTCTAGGCACACCTAAGTTTTACTGCAGTTCAATTCATTCAAACAAGTGCAAGCAGACGCCACTTCCTTTTTCTGAATACTTTGCTCTCTAAACTGGTTGGAGTTGGCTTAGCGTTCATTGCCATAGTTGCCATCCACCCATTCTCAGGCTAGCTTACCAGGAAGTATAAGGCCAGCCCAAGCCAACCACTGAAAAACAAACGGTGTTGTAGGCGAAATACCTAGTTCCGAGGGAAATTCTCCTGCCGGTGACGACAAGTGTATTCATGTCGATGCATATGAGCTCACGTGACTTTGTGCCCGGTTGGCTTCAAGCCCGAGATGGCTTCGACGTCCAAGGGGCAAATTCGTGAACACATTGTGCTGACTACCGACAGGTCAAGTTATTTAGAGTTTGATGAGGAATAGCCCCAAGCAGTCATATTCACACAACTCCAAAAGGAATACGCTGGAATGTAGCACCTGCATGGTGCTGCATTTCAAAGAACATGCACGAGAACTCACTAACGTTGGCAACCTCATAGACGTCGCAACCCGACGCAGCCACTCCATGCTCAACCCCATCTACATCAATACCAAACCAACCATGACAGGGGAGCACCCTTGAAAAACGAACAATAACAAAAATAACGAGGAGAAAGTCGCCGAGGAAGATTTACCGGTATAGAATCTACAAGAATCAACCGACTGCGGCAAAGCCTTGAGGAAGAAGGCTGTGGAGCGGTGAACGCAGTGCTGACATCGTATTAACCAGCAGAAGGCAATTTGGCTGGTGCTGCAGGACGAGATAAGAATACGAAGATTATACGGAGGATTAACCAGCAGAAGGCAATTTGGCTGGGGCTGCAGGACGAAGTAAGTATACGAAGACTATACGGAGGACTGGGATGAGCTTCTTGGCAGACGCACTTTTCACGAGGAGACGGAGTTCAAGGCATTTTTGTGCATCCCTAAGCCATCTCTTGTAGAAATCGCCTTGCAGCATTTCACCGCGCAAGCGAACATCTAGCTGTACGTATATTGCTGGCTGGTGGCGGCTGTTTCCGATAATTTGGTGCGCAAGTGCCTCCACTCTCTCAGGAACATTGTGGATTCCGACGAATGTCTCTCATCAGCAGCTGTAGTAACACAATATGCTTGCCACCATTGGCACGCAACATGTGCAACAAGTTGGGAACGTTTCGAAAGCTATTCCTCGACGCACACAAGAAGCACGAGGAGCAGCACGAGCAGCAGCACGAGCAGCTGGTGGAGGCGTAATAGCGAGAGAATGAGAAACTACGGGAAGAAACGCAACATCCTTATGAAGCAAAGAGTCTCTGGGAGAGTGAGGTGCTGCTGCGAGAGCGAGGAGTGGGGCATGTGAACATAGTCCCTCCGAAGTTGGAACAATAGCATCAACTTAGCCCTCAGGCGTAATTTCTGGTACGAAAGTTTTAGTTTCGTCACCAGTAGCCGGTATTCCGTTCATATTAAAGTTTTCCTTGCGGAACAGCCCCCCAATGGCGTGCATCCGGCGCAACTGGGTGACTCTCTTGAACTGGCTATCGCACAAGACTTCTTTGCGACCCACCCAGGGTCCCCAAACATAAATTGAATCCCACACAGTGACAATTTAGCTGGGCTTCATCCGGAAAACAGGAAAAGATTTCACTCCTCCTCCCTGCAGCGCAGAGCTCCCAAGGCTACAAGCACGCGTGTCCCTTAACTGAACCCGTAGGGGTAGCCTTCACCAGAACACCAGTCAATATACCGCACAATTCCATTACTTGTTACCACATTTATTATTTGAATACGTTTTATGAGCCTTCTGTTGCGTTCCACGGCAACTCAATTGAGCCAGTTTGGTGCTTGGCACTTCAGCGGGAACGGTCCGAGTAGGCAAGCTGAAATCAGTCTTTCATTGCTTGCCTGATATGATTGAGAGTAAAAACATACAGCAACCATTTTTTCATTTAGTCCTTGCGAATTGCATAAATTTGTTTGACGATACTGCCATAATGGCTTTATCTTCCCTTCTGTTCTTTCGTAAAATTTTGCAGATCGGCTATGGACCACATGGGATCATGGGGCAGTTGAGAAGCGAATCATGAAATTGAAGGGGAGTCTAGGCACAGCCAAGTTTGTACCGCACTTTCTCTACTTTGCTTCCCACACAGACCCTCTAAGGCGACGCCCACAGATTTTTTCCCTGCGGAAGGGCGAATAGATCTCGTCCACAATGACGCAAATACACCTTCCAGCAGATGCGGATCTGCAGGATTCCCTGGCAACTTTATATCCCCACAACCTAACCACTACTTTGCCACCTCACCCACTCAAGCATGCAGTCAGTCGTGGACGCGAGGTACTTCAGCGAGGACCACGTCGCACCAAGTTTCTAGTTGGGGCTGTGGTGTGCATTGTTTCACTGGTAACGCTTGTGGCTTTGTTGGCTGTGTGCCGAAGTATCCAACGGAGAGTGAGTCATGGTGCAGCAACACCCCGCAATCTTTCGGATACGGCAGAGGATCAGGAGCGATCCGGCATTTTGGACCAGTGCCTGGATTTGGAGGCGGAGCATGGCATTTGGGGAGCTGGTTTCGAGGACAGTGGGGACGCGACAGAAGCAAAGGCTAGGCTGGTATCCATGCTGCAGGTATCCTCAGCGGCTTTTGAACACATGCAGATTCTCACTTCACAGGGATCCCAAGATGAAGCTCATTCTCCATTGTCTAAGTTTCCTCGGCTAGATGAGTCATGGCAGTCCACCTCGCACCCAGGGGTGTCTGCTGGCAGATTTGGGTCAGACCGTAGTGGAGGGGAAGTGGGCAGTGCGTCCGACCATTTTAGTGCAGATGCCTGGCGGGCGGATCCGGCATGGCCCGCTTTTGGGGAAGAGGGGCAGCAAGGGCTGGCCGCAGGAGCGAGCGGAATGCAAGGGCCTCAGTGGAATGTATCAGAATCTCGAACAAGTTCGTCGGGTATTTATGAACAAGAGGTAATTACAAACCAAGGGGCCTTTTCGTCAGTTGGCAGCGCAACCAGCAGTGAAGACCCCCGGAATCCTGCGGCTTGGCTCGACTACCACTCAGGTAGCATGTATCCGCAGGCCCTTCAGCACAGTGCAGTGGACACTGCATTGCAAAAGGGATTCCAAGATGAAGCTCATTCTCCACTGTCTAAGATTCCTCGGCTAGATGAGTCATGGCAGTCCACCTCGCACCCAGGGGTGTCTGCTGGCAGATTTGGGTCAGACCGTAGTGGAGGGGAAGTGGGCAGTGGGTTCGACCCTTTTAGTGCAGATGCCTGGACGGCGAATCCGGCATGGCCTGTTTTGGGGGAAGAGGGGCAGCAAGTGCAGGCCGCAGGAGCGAGCGGAATGCAAGGGCCTCAGTGGAATGTATCAGAATCTCGAACAAGTTCGTCGGGTATTTATGAACAAGAGGTAATTACAAACCAAGGGGCCTTTTCGTCAGTTGGCAGCGCAACCAGCAGTGAAGACCCCCGGAATCCTGCGGCTTGGCTCGACTACCACTCAGGTAGCATGTATCCGCAGGCCCTTCAGCACAGTGCAGTGGGCACTGCATTGCAAAACCCAACGGTGGATGCAGCCTCACTAGCTTCAACTGATACGGGTTCGTTTGGAACTGACAGCCCTGCAGGTACAGTCGGTCGTGGGAACTTTCCTGGAGGCTTCGGCTATGGCAATTCAGTGTTGATGTGGCAAGCGGAAATAGTTCAACAGCGTGGGAGCCAGGCGCAAGCCGCCAACGGTACTTTGGATGCCTCGGAGATATCCGAGTCTGCTAGAGGTGGGCCCGTAACCAGCGGCGACGAGAGGGAAAGGTGTAACGCTCCGGACATTCGTCAGCATCCTTTTGTGCGGCTGCCTGAGGTAAATCCGGAGAGTATTTGCACAAAGTTCTGTCCGAGCCGTGCACTATTGATCGATCTAAATGTTACTGGCCCAATGGGGGCATACACGACAATACGTGAGTTATTTGCTAAGCCTTCACTGACGGCTGCAGATGTGGACTTACTCGTGACCAACGTTGAAAACTTGGTAAACTATGCATCAATCAAGCTGTCACAGCCATGTGAGCGACGTACATCTAGCTTTATTGCCAAGAAACTAGCATCATGGTTTATGGTAGTTGACTGCGTGGTAAGCGCAATTGAGCTCCTAGGGGAAAATATGAATACCGGGAAGTGGTGGGCTAAGTTTGTGCAGAAGTTCCCCCCGGACTTTTTCCGTCCACCAGGAGCGAGATTGAGAAAAACAAGAGCGCTAGACCATCTGATCAATCGACTGGCTGCTGTACTGTCAGTATATAAACAAGCAAAACGCCCAGACTTGCAGGAGATAGTTGATCTCAAGAGGGAAGTATTAACCAATCTGACTACAGATAGCCAGTTTTCGCACCCGCTGTGGGGGCTCTGGCTGAAGGATGACAAGGAGTTCAGTTGTCAGCAGTAATTCAGAAGCTTCTTCCGACGCTAAGAGCCAGGGCCAATGAGTACAAAAAGCACCAAAAGCACCGTGAAGCTT